CACACACACACACACACACACATCTGTGACCTTTGTTCTGAGAATAAAGCTTTAAATAATTGATATTTTAAACGTCAGGTTAAGTTGAACCAGTTGACATAAATAAGTTAAATAAATTTAATTTATTAATTTATTATTATTGATGTTATTTAAGGACATTCTGTCTAAAATCAAAACTCATAAAATTAAGAAAGATTTAAATGTTTTACTGAAGATTTTTAAAGACTTAGAAATATAACTTATCTAAGTTAAAGCTGAAAACATTGAATGAAAACCTTCAGTTTCTACAGGAATGAATGTCACACTCACATATTTTTATTTAAATAATACTCTATAATTAAACTGTTTAAATAATAAGCGTCTTACCTGCAGGATAATATAGTTTTAAATGAACTCTTTCACCAGCAGGGTGCATCAGAGAGACAGGAAGCAAATCTGAAGACTCACAATACACACAAACAATAAACAAACAACAACAACAACAATTAAAAACAAACCTTGTGGTGGTCCAGACTACAGAGGAGGATCAGGGACCAGTTCCTTCAGACCCAACACAAGCTGCAGTCTGTCACCAGAACCTTCATCCCTCTGCTGGACCCCCTCTCTGAAGAGCCCCCCTCACGGTGCTTCTTTCTCAGCATGTAGCTCCTCAGGTGGACCTCAGGGTCCTCCATGACACCAGCAGAACCCAAATGAGTCTGAGGTGAACAGAACCACAGGAGAAACAAGGAACCAGAACCAGGAAAACAATAAAACTTTAACTAAATAAAATCTGAACCTAAAGGAGTCGAGTTCTGACTGGAGTGAATTTTAAACCTGGTTCTGGTTCTGGTCCTGGTCCTGGCTCCTCACATCCTCTCTGTCACTGCTTTATGTTTTTATCGTTTTTCATTTTGTCTTAAAGGCTCTCCTCACCTCCTCAGGTTCTGCAGTCCAGTCAGACCCGGTATCAGACCCAGTGTTAGATCCGGTCCCAGCTTGTGGATCCTCCTGGCTCCTCTCTGTGGCACCGCTCGCTCTGATTGGTGCTGACAGCCAGGTGTTTCCTGTTAGAGACTGTGTGATGTCAGCTGCTGCCAGATGTTTGGAGCTTCTCTTTATGATACATTTCTACAAATGTTTATTAAAAAGATTTAAGATTCATTCAGAGGAAACCATGAAGACTTACAGGGACAGTTCAGACATTTGAAGGTGCTGCTCTGTGGGAGGAGCTAATAAKCTCTGACTCTGATCAATGACTGTGAAAACAGAGTTAACAACAAACTGCTGAAATCTGCTGAAAGACAAATGTGACAAAACAAAAGTTAAACTAGAATAGTTCCTGGGAAACTATGAAAAGGCTTAACTCTGTGCAGGATTATCTTCAACACAGTTTTGAGGATTTACTCTTGGCTACACCACACCAAAAATATGGCTAAAAATGACAGAGTTAGGGTCAATTCTAACTTTTAGCTATGGTGGCCATCTTGGATTTTTGATTTGGATTCAGTAGGTGATAGAAATCATTCTTGGCTACCATCACACCAAATTTTAGCTTAAAGGGATCCATGATTAGTTGTAACATTAGACTTTATTTGATAAACATTTATTTTAACTGTAAAAGACTGTAAAAAT